CTTGAAATGTTTTTGCTCTATGAAGCCTGATGTACTTATATGATTCTGTTTTCTTCAAGTTTGTATTTTGTTGGTCGAACGCACTTATTGTAAGTCGCTTTGGATAAAAGCGTCAGCTAAATGCAATGTAATGTAATGTAATGATTGTTATAGTATTGGCGACCTATTAGTTGCGTTCAGTGTTGGGAAGTATACTTTTAAAATGTATTCAGTTACAGAATACATGCCCTAAAATGTCATTTGTAACATTACTCCATCTAATTACCGTATTCTAAATACTTGGATTACATCAGTGCTGTTTTACATTTTATCAAGTGTGAATCAAGCTGCTATTTCAGAGTTTGAATCACCCACATGATGCCAGCAAAAACCCACAACTTAACTATAGGATAAACTGAAACATTATGTATCATCTCACAGAAATGTCAGAACTTTAGTTCAAAAAGCCCAGAACATCATATGAGAAGGATTCCAAAAGTAACCCCTACAATTCCTTCAAAGAGAGACGTATCCTCCTAACTAGTGATAGCTCACCAGCTATCGCTAGTCAATCAACATGACTGAAAAGTGTAGCACTAACGTCAACACCAGTCATTTTACAAATGGCTGAATAGCAATAGTGTTTCTTAAACGTATACATTAAGTTCAGCCATAAACCACATAAGTCAGTCATGTATTATATCAAAACTGCTTAGCAAGAAAAATACTAGATTCAAAGGTGACAGCTATCTGCTAGCTTGTAGAAGCAACACTAGATGTAGACCCCTTGAAGGGAAGACGTTAGCGCTATCCAAACTAGCTAGCTATCGCTAGTCGACTTTAAACAGTTCTGTGTGAAGTTAAAGGAATTCTCAACAGCCGACCAATAACTACAGTGTCAAATTATCCAAATGACTTGCAACCTCTCACACCAAACCATTTGCTACAGCTCAAGGTCAAACCTTCGTTGCCCCCAGGCTTATTCCATCAGCAAGATACATACTCAAGACACCGCTGGCGACAAGTGCAGTACATAGCAAATTTGTTTTGGACCAGATGGATCAAAGAATATCTACCACTTTTGCAAGAAAGACAGCAATGGAATTGCATTAAAAGGAACTTCATACCTGGAGACATCGTATTAATTATGGATTCAAATGCACCTTGTGGATCCTGGTTAATGGAAAGAGTTATGGAGACACGTCCTGGATCTGGAGGATTAATTGTGTTCTTCTTAAGACAAAAACCAACACGCTGGAAAGACCAATAAGCAAAATATGCCTAATGGTGCCTGCCTTAGAATAAGGAAATAACTGAAGATGGACAATTAAGACACCCTGTCTATCTCAAATAGAATATGAAGACTGACTTTGTCTGGCTCTTTTTGAATTTGTGTTTATTGTTATTAAAGATGCATGCCCATAACAATAGGGGCCGGTATGTTAGAGCCAGTATTTAGATTTTATAAGAAAGGCCACCTAATTGTGACGTCTGTAGTGAACGCACTATAAAGGACTACAATTCCCACGGCGCCTGTGCTAAAGCCACAGTGATGGGCAACCTGTATTCTTTTGAATATTGTGAAGGACTATTTTCTTTGTTGCATGTGCAAAAGTTTGTTATGTTATTTTGAGCAAACACATCGCAACATCTTCTAAACCATTGGAGGCCAAGCAACACTTCTAACTGTGAGTAATTTAAGGGAAAGAAACGAGTTAGAACTGTCTGTTTAAGGCGTCTAGTGGCTTGATGGAAAGACAAGGAAGGAAGCCACGACAACTAGTACAGTACAGTTCAAATACAGATTATTTCAGATCATCGAAATGCTGCACCTTAATGTTTATTTTATTATATTTTGTATTTATTTGAGTGAATATTCAGTTTTATAATAATTAAAAACCCAAAACTAATAGTTTATGTTTTGTGAGTATTAGTACAGTAAAGTTCAAATACAGATTATTTCAGTTCATCAAAATGCTGCACCTTAATGTTCATTTTATTATATTTTGTATTTATTTGAGTGAATACATTATTCACAGTTTAATAATAATTTAAAAAACCCAAAAAATATTTTATGTTTTGTGATAATTTGTTCTGCTGTACCGAAAACGTACCGCACCATGACCTAAAAACCGAGGTAGCCGGACCTAAATGTGTGTGAACCATTACACCCCTAGCTTTTACACATTTAAAAAGAAAAGGTGAATAAAGAAGCACATTAAAACTATAGTATCAATGTATGTCACATTTAACCAACTAGTGCCTACATGTAGGGGTAATATTTAAATCAGTAAATTAAATGGCATATTATTCAATGTATGTATTTTTATAAATATATTTATTTTGGTAGGTTTGCTCTTCCGTAATACATTTTAATTGTTATAATAAAGTACGTATGTGTCTAATAATACTTACATACTTTGACTTAAAGGGATAGTGGAAATGGAACCTCAAATAGTTTCGTTTTAACTTATATACAAGCATAATTACGTACCAAAACAATCACACCTGATTAAAAAAATATAATAATTGCCTTACGCATGTTAGAAGCACTTTATTGCAGCTTCCCCGAAGTTTTTTAGAAACGAAATGTTCGACTCAGCCAAACCGGAAGTGACGAAAACTTAGGAAGACGATACGATAACAAACCATGGCGTCTATGCAGAATGAACGTGGAAGGGCAAATATACCAGACAAAGAAGAAGGATTGTACGAGGTATCCAGTGATGATAGCGAGTCAGAAACATCCTCTCGGCTTTCCTACGAAAATGTCGTTTTAGGAACTGAATCTGAATCCGGTTCAGTAAGCGACGATGGTGACAATATTGAGCCAGACGATGGACCATTACGTCCTTATTTGTTCGAGCCCGAGCCCGAGGTGATGGTTCACGGCATGGGCAATGGCGAGGATGACCAGGACCAGGCGCCTGATGATGCACCCCTACGCACAAATAATCTTGACTGGTAGGTCCCTAAGCATAGCTCACGCATCTTAAGATCACCTGTAGCCTTTACAAATATTAATCATTGTTAACCAGTTAATCCCGAAGGTCCCCCCAGTGGACCCCTCCCACAGTTTTTTTTCTCTCACATGCCTCAGGGCTTCTTAACATTTATGAAACTATTAATGTTTCATACCCTTTTAAAAAGGTAAGAAACTCCGCTAACTGACAATAAGAACAATTGTTAGCTAGAAAAAACACAAGAGTAATACCAAGCCTTTGAATTAGCATTGAGCGAAACAATGCTAACTAATGCTAACGCTTTTTTACACACAACACACGGTAGAAATGCCCTTATTACTATCTTAACTGCACAAACAAGATATACGATTTAAAGCTGAGACTCCACAGATTCCACACATGTAATGTCATCACTGTAAGACCTCGAATTCCTGGAGCTATCAGCCAGAAAAGAGAAAGTAAACAACATCCGGTTCCAAAAATATTACAATAATTACGTCTTACCTTTTTTGATTTGTGATCAAAAGTTGTGTTCAACGGAATAAAAACGCATCTCAAGGTTAATCCAATGTCGTTGTGTCACGTAGAATTGTTTACTGATAATCAATCATCATATTTATGGAAATATACTCGGTATAAAGTATTGACACATCCAGGGCCGTATCCAGAATTTCCTAAATACCGAGGTCCAAACATGCTAGGGGGGTTTGGGGGATACCCCCCGAGATTTTTGGGATTTTCATGATCTAGTTATGGTGCTTTTTAAGTCCTATGGGGGGTCACAAATTGGATAATATATCGATTTCAAACCATGTCAGTGGGCTGACAATGTCAGCATCAATTATTTTGAAAGTGTAATACATAATAAGAATCAGTTGATTGTTACTATTAATGATCTGGACATGCAGAAGAGGCTAAAATGAAGGGGTTATTATGCCTACATTCTTTTGTGTGACTGTACCTGCAGTTCCTCCCTGACTTCCATCACTTTCTCTCTCTCTCTTTCTCTCTGCCTGTCCTGTCTCTTCCTTACCAAAGCTGAGCTTCGACTGACGTAGTCTTTTCATTATATCTGAGTCAGTGTAAAAACAAAACAAAACAATGTTATATCTTCAATGTTTTACTCAAATTGAAATAAAAGAAAAGCATTACAACGTTTGTTAAAAGGTAATCCTTCTGACATTGGATGAATGTAATTAACTGTAGCTCTCTAGCTAGTTTATTCACGCTATTTAAACCAAAGTATAGCCTATAGCTGCAATATAAGTTAGTGTGCATGTTGTCGGACGTCCACTGACTAACGTAGAGCGTTCACACAGGATCTGCTGCTTATATGATGTCCTGATGAACAGAAACACAAGCAGCCCGCTGGACTCAGATCTCTAGATACCTCATCACTCCTTCGCTGCTCCGGTTCAAGTCCGGTCTGCGGTGATTTGTTGATACATGTCGTCTTCTTCTGTTTGCTTTAATCGAGGCTAAGTAGTTATGCAGCGCCCCTATCGTCAGTAAATGGAAGTACTACAAAGAACCCCGTTTAGTGTAATTATTTCACAAGTTTTGTTACACAGCTCGAAAAATATAACCGAGGTCCGGACCTCGGTGACCTCAATGGTGGATACGCCATGGACACATCTATTCACCATAATAAAGGTCGGCTATTCACATGCAAATGCTATTGAATGTCCGCCATTGTTTGTGCCCGTCTTCCTATGCTCTCGTCATCACCCGAAGATTCCCGAAGTATTTCGTTTCATTGAGAGGGCGCAGTAAAATTGAAAATAAAATGAAACTAGGCGCATGAAATTAAAAAAAATTGTTTATTATGCTTATTTTTAATAAAAATACATAAGTTAAACCCAAAATTCGCGGATTTCCACTATCCCTTTAAATAAGATATGAACGCATACTTACACTTTTAATGGAGTATTTTCACAGTGTGGTGTTCAGGATCTACTACCTGCAGCAAGTGCTGATAGAGGGCCTAAGTGTTATTAATGTGATAATAAAGTACTACTGAAGAGCTTAAAGTGTTAATGAAGGGTAAAGGGAACATACCTGCTATGTGTATCCGAAGCTGAGGCTGTAAAGCAGCGTCCAGTAGTTTCTGGAGTCTCTTGTTCTCCTCTTTGGAAAGAGACAGCTCCTCCTCGTGCTCTGCTATAGTCTTTTCAAACAGACCAAATATCTCTTCAGCAGCAGCAGTGAGTCGCTGCTTCTTCAACGACAGCAGCATTTGGACTTTACTCATGTTTACTAGAGTAACCCCTGCAAACCCCGTTAAACACGCCGTTTCTCTCTCCCTCAAACTCTCAATCTGACTAGTGTTGCTAACGTGTTTCCAGCTAGCATGCTAAGCTAGCTCCTATAGTCCGAGGTAAACGCTAGTGATGACAGTTTGACACTGAAGCTTCGAACGGAGCTTCAACCCTGGACTTCCTATTTCATAGAAGCAGTGCTTCTTCTTCTTCTCTTGCTTTTGGCGGATTACAAACAACTTAAAAGGTGCTTACCGCCACCTACTGTACATGAGTATGAATCATCACATCATTCCAACTTTTTAACTTATGCCCTAATCAAAATCAAAATAAATCAATAAATCAATAAAACCATGAAATAAATAAAACAAAAACCAAATCTATGTTCTTTCCTGACCTAATGTTAAATTATTTTTCCTACCCCAGTTTCACTCAAGAATTTAAACAGTGCCTTTCTGGTAGCTCTTACTCCCTCTCCTTTTGTTCCCAAAACACCAACCACACTCCATTCCCTCTCTGCCTCTAAAACGTTATCCTTTAGTTGTTCTCTTTCCGCTTTATAGATGTCACAATGTACCAATATATGTTCTACATCTTCTTTTACTGCACAGTTCGCACACTTGTTACTGTCACTTTTCCCCCATGATATACAGCGTACTATTCAAAGCCGTGTGATTTATTCTGAGTCTAGCCATCATGATTTCCTCCCTTCTGTTTCTTTCTTTATGAATATTAATTGTAATTGTCTTTTGTACTTTGTGATAGTCCTTGCCTTTCTGGTCTTCCTCCCACCTCTTCTGCTAGATCTCCATCCCTTTTTTCTTAATTAATGACTGCTTTTCCTTCTCCTTTACCAAGTTGAACTGGTAATGTTATTTGCTTTTGTAGTGCACTTTTTGCTAATTTATCAGCACACTCGTTCCCTTTCACCCCCTCATGTGCAGGCACCCAGCAGAACTGTAGATCTATGCCGCTTCTGTGCAGTCTTAACAGGCTATGATTCAGTTCTATGAGAATGTATTCTCTAGTAGTTGTTGATTGTATGCTTTGTAATATGGACAATGAATCTGTACATATAACCACCCTATCTGGTCTGACCTCTTCAACCCACTGCAATCCTATTATTACAGCAAGCATTTCTGCTGTATACACTGATAATTGATCAGATGCTCTTTTTAAAATAGATATTTTAAAGTCTGGGATGTATATGCCAACTCCAACACACTCTTCCTTGTTCTTAGAACCATCTGTATATATTTGTAGGAAATTGTAGTACTTTTCGTTCAGATACATACTTGTTTTAATTCCCACTTCATTTATTTGCCACTCTTTTTTCCTTTCTACAATACTCATATCTATTTTAGCTTCTGGGAACAACCATGGGGGAACACTGCTAAATGGGATTGCTTTGGCAAATGTGATATTCTCCACTCCATATGCCCTCGTTCTTTCCTTACTCGTCCAGCCAAACCCACGTCCCTGAAATGTTGCATATTCCCAGCAATCCTGTAATATTCTGTTTGAAATATTTTCTTCTCCACTTCCTTGTAGCCTGACCCAGTATGACAGAGAACGTTTCTCTCTTCTGATCTCCAGAGGTGTCTCTCCTGCTTCTATCAGAACTGCCTTTATCGCTCCAATACATAACCGTAATGCTTTATATTGTATTCTATCTATTTTTAAAAGCGATGTTTTTGCTGCTGCTCCATACACTATACAACCATAGTCTATTGTGGACCTCATAATTTATCTGTAAATGTCTATTAATGCTTGTTTGTCTGTGCCCCAGTTGCATCCAGCTACAGCTCGCAATAAATTTAATACTTTTTTGTATTTTGTTTCCACTTGATTAATATGCATTTTCCATGTGTATTTGCTATCAAACCACAGTCCTAGGTATTTGAACTCATTCACCTTTGTCATTGAACGATCATATAGTGTTAGCTGTTGGCCATCAATCTTGCGTTTGTTTGTAAATACCATGTAGCATGACTTGCTTTCTGACATTTTGAATCCCCAGTTATATGACCACCTCTCCACTTTTTTAATCGCTCTAGCTATATTCTCCATTACGTATGGGGCATTTCTTCCTCTCATCCAAATAGCCCCATCATCTGCGTACAGAGCAAATTGTATGCATGTGTCTAAGCATGTAAATATATCATTAATCATGATGTTAAATAATATTGGACTGACTGCACTCCCTTGGGGGATACCATTTTCTATTTCAAAATAATTGGAAATATCTGCTCCAACCTTTACTCTAAATGTCCCGTCAGTTAAAAAGACCCTTACCCAATTGTACATTCTCCCTCCAATACCCATTCTACCCAATTTGATCAGTAACCCATCCCTCCACATAGAGTCATACGCCTTTTCAATGTCAAAGTACACTATTGCCATTATCTCTTTCATTTTCAATGTTTTTTCCACATCGTTACTCACTCTTACTAACGCATCTATTGTGGACCGCCCTTTACGAAATCCGCTCTGAAAACTACTCAGCAGCCCTTTCTGTTCCAGTACATGCGAGAGCCTACGGACAATGATCTTTTCCATCCATTTACATAGGTGTGATGTAAGAGCTATTGGTCTGTAGTTACTAGGGTTTGCTGTATCTTTCCCTGGCTTATTGAATGGTAGCACGATTGCTGTTTTCCACACACTTGGCATATCTCCTTCTCTCCAGATTTTATTGAAAAGACTCAGCACAATTTCCATAGTTTCCATAGGTAACTGTCTAAACATAGCATAACATAGCTGGTCTTGTCCTGGGGCTGTATATCCTGTACCTTGTAAGGCTATTTTGAGTTCTGACATTGTAAATTCCACATCCAGAGCTGACCTATTATCCTGTCTCTTCTCCTTCACGTTTTCATTCTCTGCTAGTAACTGCTGTTTTTGCTGCCTATGAATATCACTGAGATGCTCCCCACTATGTACTGCTGCAAGTGTCCTTCCTAACATATCTGCCTTCTCTTTATCTGTCACTGCCAGCCTCTCCCCATCAACCAAAGCTGGCATTTTAATGGATTTCCTTTTCCCACTCATCTGCTTAAACATGGACCAGACATCACCTAATGTTACTCCTCTGCCAATGGTAGAACAAAATTCTCTCCATGTTCTCTTTTTTGTATATTTTCTTGTCCTTCGAGCAGCTGCCCTTTTCCTTTGAAACTCTATAACATTATTTTGTGTCATGTTTTTCTTTAATTCTCTAAATGCATTATTTCACTCTTTAATAGCCCTGCTGCATTCCTCATTCCACCATGGCACCACTTTCTTCCTACCCTTGGTTGTTGTTTTGGGTATACTGTTCTCTGCTGCATTTAGTATATGTTGCGTTATTTGGCTTGTAATGACCTCTATGCTTCCCTCTGATGTTAGCAGGTGTACCGACTCCTCACACCATATCCTAAATTTCCCCCAATTAGCTTTAGCAAAGCACCACCTGGTTATCACACCTCCTTCCTGCATATATACATTAGTATTCATTTTAGTAAGCACTGGATAATGGTCACTTCCTACAGTGGAGTTATTCAAAACAAACCATTCGCATGTATGAACCAAACAGTTTGATACTAATGTCAGATCCAGGCATGATACTTTCCCCCTGTGTACATCTACTCTTGTTCCATGTCCATCATTAAGGCATACTAGTGTTCTTTCCTCCAGCATTTCTTCCACTATGTTTCCGTTACTGTCTGTATGGTTGCTGCCCCATAAACTGTTGTGTGCATTGAAATCACCACACCAAACTTCCTTCCTATGTTTATTGCCTGCTATTTCTTTAAGTATATCAGTGGTTAGATTTTGACATGGGTTGTATACATTGATTATCCTAATGTTATCTTGTTTCATAGGGTTGCAAATGTCCACTATAATACACTCTATATCATCAGGAGATTGCACCTCCCTGTATGCCACACCATCTTTGAGAAACGTGGCACACCCTCCACCATTTTGACTATTAGCTCTATCATGCCTTATACAGCTAAATCCTGGAATGACAAAGTCTAATTGAGGTCGTAACCAAGTTTCTTGCACACATATTCCCTCAGGGACTACCTCTAGCTCATATATATATTTTTTGAATTCTTGACCATTAGCTATGAGGCTTCTTACGTTCCACTGTAGTATGTGCAGAACCATGATTAAGGATCTAACCCTCATTCTGATTTTCATTTTCCCCAGCTCCATTTATAGCCAACATTGCATGCATCTGATCTGCTTTCATATATTTAATGTCTAGGAATTTTCCAGCTGCCTCCACAATGGCTTTGATTCTATCACTTTTCTTTTTTAACTGTAATGCAACATTTACAGTATGGCATATGAATACCACAAAATTCACCTTTTTCACTCCTAGAACATCATCATCCTCTTTACTCTTGGTGGCGCTGTGGGGTTGGATTTGAAGATTACTTTTTGGTGTGTTCCTGCCATTTTGTATTGTAATGCTCTGCTCCATTCCACTAGGGGTCTTATTGATTGTTATTGTTCCCCTTACTTTCTTTATTGCTTCTGCGTATGAAACTTTGTTTGTAATCTTAACCCTCTGCACCTCTCTGGCCTCTCTCTGCACTTCACATCCTCCAAACGCAGCACTGTGATCTCCTCCGCAGTTACAACATTTAACCTTTGCATCCTTTTCAGATTTTCCATACTCATGTTGTCCTCCGCATCTCGCACACCTTAGCTGCCCTTTACACTGCTGCGCTGTGTGCCCCATTCTTTGACATGCGTAGCACCTGAGAGGTTTGGGAATGTACTCCCTAACAATGAAGTTCAGATATCCCATTTGTACTGCCTTAGGTAAGCTTCTCTCAAACTGAATGAGAACTGACAATGTTTCTTTGAGTGTGCCATCCCGTTTGCTTTTAAGCCTTGTGACTTCCACTACTTTGCCTCCTTTTATTTATCTTTTAACATCTTCCACTGACATGTCCAATGGTACTCCTGAGATTACTCCTCTCAGTTTTGCCATTGCTCCTGGGACATGCGCCTTTATTTTCTCCCCATTCAGTGAATTCATTCCCAGTATCTTTTCCTGCTGCTCTTTGTTATTGGCATGTATCAAAACCCGCTTGTTGTTCATGAATTTAGCAAATTTAATTGTTCCAATCTCTTTTTCAATTGCTTTGGTAAGTTTAATCGGGTGGTAATGCCCACCATCCTGATTGAATTATATCACAACTTTCCACTCGTGTTCTAGTTCTTTATTCAACATTGCTTGGCTGACACTTTGACTGATTTTTGATTTTTTGCTTTGATTAGCCTTGTCTGCTTCACCCGACCAATCCGACCAGCTCTTACTGAACTATCTCTTTCTCTCAAAGATCTTTTCTTCCTCGCAGCTTTGGATATCATCCATTCCATATCGTCTTTTTGGCTACCATCTGAGCTGGTTGACATGATGAAACAGTCAATGTACAGTTTATGCAAATCCGCCAAAAATAACAGTCCAATGCTACCGTTTCTGTATGTATCCGATTTTTCCGATTCTCTCTGAGCTTTCCGTCACGCGTCCGTGTTTTCCTGTCGCAGTTTGACGTCACCGAGCAACAGCCAAACATCCCAACTCAAACTTCTCCCCTCTCTTCTCAGACCAAACTCATGCTCCGAACGGAGCTTCAACCCTGGACTTCCTATTTTATAGAAGCAGTGCTTCGAAGCTTGCTTCAAATCACGTGACATATGACGTCAGACGCAGCAACTGCTTCAAATCACGTGACATGTGCAAGCCCCCAGGAAGTGCGCCGGAGTCTGATGAGAATATTCGTAGTGGCCAAACTGCGGTACTACACTTCCGTTTGGTTGCCAGGCCCGGAAACACTTTTTCCCATTGACTTACATGGGGAAAGAGTGGTCTGTAAATCGTTGGATAATTGTTTTGAAACTAAATAAACAACCCAGTATGAACACTTGTATAGCCCTTATTAAAAACATTCGTTCCTCAAGTTGTAAAAATGTGCTAATAACGTTATTCTGAGAGTTATTTCCCTCGGCATTATGAACGCGCATCTAAACCCACGGGACCGCGCCGCCTGGCACGTTCATGTGATGTGACCTGTTCAGCACTACATGCGTTTATCTTTACCCATGGATGCACAATAACAACGGACCCATATCGCCTTACTGCCATCCCACGGAACTGTAATAATGGATATATTCAGGGCCGCCCCTCCCTACAGACCAATCACGCAGGCTGCATGGGGCCCCGCCTTGCGCAGGGGGCCCCGCCCAGAGGGCCTCAGCTGCTGTGCGCAGTTCTCCGCTCAGTTCTCCGCGCACCCCCGGCTGACACGCGAGAGTGAGAGGTGACAAGGGGAGCACGTCTGTAACCCGACACCGTTGCAATGAATCGCCATCTGACCAATCACGGCTTTGATACGGCCACGAGTGCAGGTGAAGAGATGTCGGTGAAAAGACAGTTTCAGTCCGGCGCAAGCTAGAGGGAAAAAAAACAAAACTTGAAGAAACTAGAGCATCACTCGAAGGTGGGTTATTGTCAAATGTACAACTTGCGAATGTTGTATAAGTCAAATTGCCAATTGCCATATTAAAACATCAGCTGCAATTCACGACATGAAGAAGGCAGTCTCTGCAGAGCATACAGGCGAATGGAGATGCAGTTATTTCCAGCATTCTTTATTTACCATTCATTCAAGTATGTGATGCCTTTTATCTGCTAATGTACAGGAGGAAGAGTGATAAACTGTCTGTCTAGTTGGCTTACATAACAGTTAAAGTTTACAGCCTAAAAAACATGGAGTATTTGTTCCCCTCTTATTCATTTTTATGTCAATTTGCACATTTCATGGTGACACTCAGCCTCTCCCCTTAACTCCTAACAGTCATCATCATGTCAACCACAACACAGAGAAATACTGATAGAAATGTGTGTGTAGTTGTTGATACATTGCTGACAGAGGGAACTACATTTGAATACAGATTTAAGAAATATCAGTTTTTGAGCATGTCATAAGCATGTTTTGTCTTGACTATATTACAACTATATTATAATAAAATAATATAGTATTTATATTATTGAATTGATTATGATTATTATTATTAGTAGAAGTTGTTTATTTGCATTAATTATATTTTAATCTTTTTGAGGCTAGTATTTGGCCTCAAATGCAGACGTATTCACCTGTAAACGCATACTGAACGACATACATGCACAACCATTTACCTCACTGCATAAAAAAGTGTTGATAATAATAATAAACAGGAATTATATTTGCAAAGTAGCCTACTTTGTTTAAAACCATTTTTTTTGTTTAGAGCGGTCATAAAGTGTTGATGGCTTCAACACTTTATGACCGCTCTAAACAATGCGCAATGTGTGGGTTGTTGTCGTAGTTTGCGTTGTTGCTGTTGAGTTGTTGTTGGTATTGCATTTGAATTGTATCATTATAGAGCAAGCCAGGAAGAAATATAGGTCGTTCTGGCTCGGGAAACACTTCGAAATGTAGAGAAGTTCTGAACAAAAAGACAATTATTAGTAATATAAAAACAGTTCAATGTTTTAAGTAATAGATAGCCCAGTGGGTAGAGCCGGCGGCGATGTCCTCCGTGCAGCTGGTTCAAAGCCCGGAATGGATGTACTTTTAATCATTGCTTTTCAACTTTAATACTTTAATAACTGTTAAAAGGCCCTCTCCTCCCAAAAAAATGTCCAGCACTCTCTAGTCTCTTCTCAATAACCCAATACACACAATTGTCAATCTTTAATTGCAAATAGAACATGATATTCCAACCCAGTCTCACAAAAAAACGTGTAATAACTACGTTGGTCCACAACGTAGGACGTAGTATATCTACAAAAACGCCTCTTGAAAAACGAAATTGTAAGATGCCTACGTTTTTTTTCACCATTCATTCCAATGGCTGGCTTCTATGTCACGTGATCTTCAAATGTCTCCCTGCAGAAAAAAAAACATGGCCGACCTTCGTTTTATTCTCGGTGTAAAATGCCTATTTTAAGGTTAGTTTGGTCATTAAAATGCGTTTTGATGTCATTTCATGCGAGAAATATGAGTTGTTATTTAAGATTATGTGTGCAGTGTGGGTGTACATTATCTTTAGTTTGCTAGTTATTACGAAGATTACTTCAGGAAATTGTGTCCATTCAACGTTTTCATTGTTACCAAGATGGTTGCTAGGGACGCTGCTATCGATATTATTTCTGTTATGTTGTGTAAAATGGTGTTATCTTTATTGCTACCCCCTTCCCCGTCAATGTATAGTGTTGGTCCACAGTGCAAACGTAGGCCTATTAGTTTAACAAAATCAAAGGTACAAGCTAGACTTTTATTTAGCATCTCAAAACACATCGGACCGGCGGAGACAGGAAGTCCGGCTCACTAAAATGTCCGTACAGAACAATACCCTGGCCTAACCCATAGATCCGTGGGTGAATAATGTCAATCACTACAATAGATACGTTATTTTCCGTTACCAACACCGTTATTAGTGTTGGTCCACTGCTTTTCTCTTTGAAAGTCATCACATAACGGCATTGTAATACACAGTTCGGCTGCAGTCAATGTTACATATCTGCTGTAGTTCTCTATTTATAGAGCCTTGATGAGACAAACATGATGAACTGGAAACGTGACATGGATCATAAATATATCAGTAATTAAACAACATCTTACATTTATTTTCACACAATACATCTCCTTGCAGTATCAACACTAATTCGGCTGACTTTTATATTTAATCCAATTGGTAGATAGGCTGTATTTACACCATAAACGTGCACACCTGATATAAAGGGACACCTAGTGGTTAAAGCATGTTATTGAATTTCATTATTTTTATTATTAGACATTAATAGAATCCCTATAAAGTATGTTCATTACTCGTTATTCTCTACTAATAGTTAATTAAAGACTGTATATAATGACTATTTTGCACATCCCTTTCAAGATTTTCTAAGGTTTATTGACATATTCACAAATGGTGCAGTTATGCAATGAATGTAAAACTTTGTGTATACCTCCAGGAATGTTAACTATGTTGAAGCACTTATTTTAACTGATATTATACATATGTATTATACTCTTATAAGATGTAGATAGTATAAGAAATGTGCAGAATATGAGAATTTAATGGTGGAGGTACACAAATATTGAAAGATGTCTTGTGATGCACTGTTGAGGAACCTGTGACCCAAGTTTTTCATCTCCGGCCTTGTCAGGTATTGAACAATCAATAAATAAAGAACAGAGAATTATTAAATATAAAACACAGAATTTGTGTGATTATACTAAATGATTTACAAATAAACACCACTGCATATGTACAACTATACACATGCTGATGTAACGCAAATGTTTCCAACTTGGGATCAATAAAGTATATCTTATCTTAAGCTGATCGATGGCTACTGCCAGATTTGCAAAATGTGCCTCTGAACCTTGACAAGTGCATGTTTCAGGCTTATCAATGAACAACAGGAGGGGTCACAGACATAAGACCAGCTGTTAAATAAAGCTCTTCTGACCTTAGCTGTCGTGTGGGTATATATTAATGCTGCCCATTGGGCACAAGCAATTTTCACCCATTTATTAATTATATATTTTAAATTTGAGTGTTTCCTATCCCCTAAACCTCCAAAATCAAATCAAATCAAGTTTTATTTATATAGCACATTTATAAATGATTTTTGGTCGAGCCAAAGTGACGCGGTGGACCCGTCCAAATCCGGTTTTGGACAGTCTGCCGTGGTCCCATCCCATTTCATGGGTATTGTTCTGCACGGACATTTTAGTGAGCCGGACTGCCGGTCTTCGCCTCCCGGGCATGAAGCTGTTTACATGTGTTTTGAGATGCTAAATAAAAGTCTAGCTAATAACTAATACGTTTGCACTGTGGACCAACACTATACATTGACGGGGAAGGGGGTAGCAATAAAGATAACACCATTTTACACAACATAACAGAAATAATATCGATAGCAGCGTCCCTAGCAACCATCTTGGTAACAATGAAAACGTTGAATGGACACAATTTCCTGAAGTAATCTTCGTAATAACTAGCAAACTAAAGATCATGTACACCCACTGCACACATAATCTTAAATAACAACTCATATTTCTCGCATGAAATGACATCAAAACGCATTTTAATGACCAAACTAACCTTAAAATAGGCATTTTACACCGAGAATAAAACGAAGGTCGGCCATGTTTTTTTTTCTGCAGGGAGACATTTGAAGATCACGTGACATAGAAGCCAGCCATTGGAATGAATGGTGAAAAAAAACGTAGGCATCTTACAATTTCAGAGGCGTTTTTGTAGATATACTACGTCCTACGTTGTGGACCAACGTAGTTATTACACGTTTTTTTGTGAGACTGGGTTGATTCAGTCTTAGTGTGTGTGTGCATTGTATATTTTTCAAGGCAAAGATACGTTAAACCCACTACAGCCTTGCACTTCGCCAGGAGAGGTCACTGTAACTGAAGCTTCGAGAAATGAACCTATTTCCGACACAATTGTCCAAGTGGTTCGACGCTTCATTCAAAGCTTCATTTTGCCATCACTAGTATAACGCTACAGAAAAAAGAGCACACCGTCCATTCAGAGGTTTATCCAAACACAAAGATGATGGATCAGTAGTGCTGTAACTCACACACACTTTCTCAGGAACACAGAGAGAGATACCACTTGTGGAATTATACCATCGTGTTGTTTGCGTTGTTTTAAATTCTTCCAATCAATCCTGTTTCACTCAAATACTTAAGAATGGCCTTCCTGGTAGCTCTTACCCCCTCACCTTCTGTTCCCAGTATCCCCATCAGGCTCCACTCTCTTCCTGCCTCTCTGACCCTGTCTCTTAGTTTTTCCCTCTCTGTTTTGTACATGTTGCAGTGTAATATTATGTGTTCCACATTTTCTTTCACTTCACACCCCCTGCATTCTTCAACTTCACTTTTTCCCTTTAAAAACATTGTGCCATTTAATCTTGTACACTGTAAAAACCGATGGTGAAGACAACAAAACTCGATTTTTTAATGTAATTTACTTGCCCTAAATTAGTTATTTTTCAATGTGCGTTTAAATAAGTAACACTTAGGCAACAATGAGAACATGTTTTAAGAACTTGTTTTATTATTTGTAAATTAATATCACATTTTCTGAACTTTCTTATAAATACGTTTTGGAAAACTTAAAGGGGACCTATCATGCAAAATGCACTTTTGTATGTCTTTTATACATGAATATGTTCCAGGGAACTCAGGAAGTGTCAGAAAACACAACCCTCTCTATTTTCCTCCATACCCAAATCTCTAAAAAAGGGGCTGCAACGGATCTGATAAAAACTGATCCAGATTTGAACACTGTCCTGACGTCAGGAGGACGGTGGTGCTACGGCTATTGGGCCAACTCTCCACCTATCAGGGGAATGTGGGGTTGGGCCACGGCCGGCCATTGCCGCTCAAAAGCGCTGGAGACGCTTTAGTACATATGCCAGGCCTATAAGTGGCGCTGTAGTCTGCCACAAAAGTAGCGAAGAAGACTTCCCGCGCATGGTTGCCATGGTTGCCCTTCTGTTTATTCTCCGCTGTGGCTCTTTTTACTCCCTCCCCGTCGAGGCAAGCACTGTAATTCTCTCAGGTTAGTCCACCATCAGATGACAAACACCCACCTCTCCGCCTCTTCCAAGGAACGAGGGGACCATGCAGCAGAGTTTCAGTCTTCCGGACAAAATTAGAAAAGTGCCGGTCAAAGGTCTTCTTTGTTATTTATTGAGCTTTAAAACAAATGAATAACGACTCTATATAATAATAGAATAAAACACGGAGGACGGAGATCTATTTTTCTCCCCCTCTTCTGACTTGATCAGAGCACGCTCCCCTCTCCTGCAGGGGGGCGTGGTCAGCTGCAGCTCACAGAATCAGCCCCCTGCAAAAACAGGGCTGGAGAACAGCAAATAGAGCGAAATGAGGCATGGCTAAAATGCATGATCTGGTCGGTATTTTGAAAACAGAAACATATACCTTATATAGGTATGGCCCTACAATATATCATTTGAATATAGCATGATAGGTGTCCTTTAATAAAAATGCTTTTGTCAACGTCAAGGTCATGCCACGCCCTCAAACGACAATACCGCAGTGTGAGACTTCCTGTTCCTCTTTGCAGGGATTCTTCAGCAGTTGGACACGTGTTTGCGTTGGATCCTCTTCAAACCATCGTAAAACAAGTAAGCATGCCACCTGAGTTATTAATTACTGCTTTTTAACTAGCAAGTATTAGAAGTATTTGTTGTTCTCGCGTCCCAGGAGAGAAGCTTAAAATAAAGAGACTAATGGAGTGTCTCAATGGTTCAAATGGGTTACTTTAATTAAATGGCGCGGTAATGAAACAAACAGAAGGTGGTGGAGACAAAACAGCTGTGAGTCCCGGGTGTGCAGCGGTGAAGAGAGGACGAACAACACTCGTCCGCTATCTATATATCCTCCGTTGGCTCCTCCTGTCATGGCCCCAGCTGTTGTCGGGGGACCTCCCTCCGTTATCTTCAATGTCCGATATCGCGCATAACAGAGGATTTAGACGTTGTATATTCATTGCATAACTCCACACGCATCTTCTCCTCATACTCTCTTTCATGACTTTTTATTTAATGCATTTGAACGGCTCTAATCGTTATTTACGTAAAACAGGAAGTCAAGCTTACTGTTGGTATTCCGGAGACTTCTTCCGGAATAGCTTTTCAAAATAAACTTTAGCATAAACGTTAGCCACAGGCGAATGCTAACCAGAAATGTTTTCACAATAAAACAGTTTTAAACGTACTGTATGTTTAAACTAAATTACGTCATTAAACATTGATTTTAATTTCTTACAATCCCTCCTTTAAAGTATGTAAATAATACTGAAATCAATTAGTTATTCATCTGAACTTTGCATAGTACATAACTCATATCAAAAACATACAATCAAAATGGAATGGTTCAATAACCGTCATCAAAAATACAAATTACTTTGGTTGGTCTTCAACATAAAAGTTTTTCTTTGTGCATAACTTCTAGTGTTAACATTCAATATCACTCAAAAAATAGCAGCAATTAGCTTGGTATCAGAACATTTCTTACTCCCTCCTTTCACAGAAATCGTTCCCATACCACATTCAGTGTTAAGGCACTTGTTTTTACAAAACATAAAAAGAAACAAACTATTTTAGAATAGTAGAAAGTACTACTACTTTGTAGCTGGTTCTTCATTCTAATGATTTCACATCACATCATTTGGACATTCTTTGAACAATCTCATCATTGAACATCCATATAATTTAAACAATCTCATCATTGAACATCCGTATCATTTAACATATTTTAAACAATCTCATCATTTACATCAATATCTGTATATGGGGGTGGGTTGTCTTGTTCTGCTAGCATTTGTAACTGTTTCCTTATGAGAAATGTACCCTCCCTTATACCTTTTAAGGTACGTAAGTAATATGTTCTCTAGAAAGGGCTGTGGTGATAAATCGGTACGTTAGGGTGCGGGTACATGGAATGCAACTACAACATCTAGCACTCCCCTGGGCACCCCTATGCTATCCTTGTACGCTGTGGAGCCTAAACTCCCTCATGGGACTGGTCTCTTAGCCCTACTGGTTTTGGGGTGTTTTGCCATGTCGATTAACTGATCCGCTGTCATTGGTACTGCATACAAAACATCACTGGCTGTACCAGTGCACAGGTCCCAGTCCAATCCTGTGGCAAGACTGAGTACAAGGTTTTAGTTCCACGATACCACCAAACATCTACTCTGGGATACGGCATTTTAGACATAGTCATTTCTGGGAGAAGATTTTGGTCAGTTACAGCAGTTGTAGAATTGAAAGTACCTCAAATGGAGTGAAAACCGGTGGAATATCAATAACTCACTATACTAATTTCAGTTCAATTCTGGTCTACTTAAAGAACTATGTTAAACCCTTTAACAGTGTGTGGAACTTTGTGTGTCCAAGCATGTGATAATTACTCCCTCCTTTATCAAGGATTTTAAAAACAGAAGTAATTTCATCAATGGTTTGTAGTTCAATTTAGGAATTTTCACTTATGGCATATATGTTTCTACTTTAAATAACATCTCTTACTTTCAGGTCATCACTGATTAAATGGATGACCATTAGGAGGTGGTGGCGTTTGTCTTTTAAAACTCATAATCTGGTGCTGTGCGCTCCCTGTGAAGCTGCAAGTAAGATTTAAAACAACTGCAGGGTGGGTTGAGTGACCCCTTCTCTCTAAACGATATTGGTTGTCAACAATAAATATGCACCATTACAATGAGTGATCCAAGGCCCCAAATGTATTACTCCCAATTATATTGCTTTTTCCAAAATTAAATGTGCAATCGCTCTTTGCCCAGTGTCTTTTTAAAACTCTACATCTTGGACGACTGTGAGACTGACCGGATGAGCGGCCCGACCAAGCAAGGAGGCAAAGGCAAAACGTCCCAATTACAACCCGGTGTGGGCATTTATTAAAATCATAGACACATGACTCACAGCCTCAATCCTGCTGTTCTCCCTGAACACATCCTGCAGCCACAAGGATCTCACACCCCATTACAAACAGGAAACACAGAGCCTAAATACCCACAGACTAATCAATCAACAAGACACAGGTGAGGGGGGAGGAGACAACACAGGGCACCAGGTGAACACAATCAGGAGCAACAGACAAAACGGGAGGGGGAACACTTCCAAACTAAACCACATGTGCAATATTACAAGGCCCGAAGCCATCAGTCCACAGTGACGAAGTTACCTTCGTCACAACGACAAACAAATGTTATTTCCACCTTAACAATTCTCTTATGGTAATAAGCTACAATGGTGAAATCAATACTTTAGACTGGAATACTATATTTGGCTTGGTACTAGCTCTCCTTTTAACATTTTCCATACAACTAAAGATTGTTCTGCTCTTATATGGGGGTTTACTAAAAACTATCCCTTTATACTGTAGATCAATATTGTAACAAATTAAATCTTTACCAAATTCGTACATGAATAAGAATCTCGTAAAGAATAATTTGTTTACATGATGAAAAGATTGAAGAATATGTTCTACTCTGTACTCCTAAGTCCAAAACACCCACTGCTTAAAGTATGGTGAATATTTCCATCAAGTCTACCCCTTTATCCCACAGTACTCTCAGTGTGTTTTTAGGATTATTTCCTCATTTTACTTACTCATAGTTTCCTCTTACTTTTTAAATGTACCAATTGATTAATTCATGGCTAATACATATTTTTTCTTTACGTATTTTCAAGTCAATTTAAGTTCTTTAAATGTGGTCCTTTTTATGTGCGTTTGTGAATAAGTGTGTTTATGTGTAAACTCACTCACTCCCGTTTTCCTTTTCTCCCCCTCTGGTTGTCAAGCCACGACCCCCTCACATTCTGCTAGACCATGCCAACTCCTCCGAGTCTGTCTTCTCGTCCGTCCTGTCTTCTCCTCAGTCCATCCGCTCTTGAATCCTTCCGCTGTAACTCTTTTCAGTGGCCCAACTGCTTGGCATTTCATTTCCTCCTTTACAGTCTCTTCGCTGTTGCATGGAGGACGTATTCCGCTCTCATGTCCCACA